GTAAATTGGGGGGGGGGGGATAAAAAAAAAGAATTTTGTGATACATGAAAATTATGTAAAATACAAATTTCTATGTCCATAAATAAAATGTTATTGAGCTCAGCCAGCAGTTTATGGCTGTTTTCCCACATCTGTATTGAGTAGTTGAGATAGAGACCGGATTGACAACCAATCTGACACTGGCCCTTAACAGAGAAAGTTTGTTGACCCCTAATATAGATGAAAATAAGAATCTTATATAAAAGTTTTGTTTCATTTTTGAAAAATTATTAAACTATTATCAAAAACTATAATTTAAGCTCTGACATATTATGCCTTTGTACATTCCATAACAATGTCAACAGGTGACACACTGAAGCTACAAGACTGTAGCCAATCTATAATTGTAAATTTACCTCTTTCTCCAGTGACACCATTGCTTTATTACAAATTCACACATCTATAGGCATTTGCAGTAGTCCACATAACTGCATCATTAGAATACAAAATAAGCATATTCAAAACAGCCCTGAAATTATTCATGAAAAAGAGACAAAGTATAAACTTAAGTCAGTGATGTTATTTATGTAATACCTCAAATAGAGTTTTTCTTTCAAAATAGACACAAATATGTGATAAGCATTTTCATGAGAATATGGACAATCAGAAATATTTTTTAAATCACGAAATAAACATTTTCATGCTAACATACTCAAATGACTATAAGAAAACAGACTCCTTATTTTTGAGTCTCCAAAATGCAAACCTGAAACTGTGGAATGTGTCCCTTTCTACCATATTCTGTATTTACGTATAGCTTTGTCTGATTTTCTTTCTAGACTATAAGCTCCTGATGGCAGTCTAATTCCTATTTGTATGCTCTGCAGCATCTTATTTAGTAGCTTTCACAAAGTAAAATACTCATTGAAACTAGCTGAAGACAAATGCATGACAGGAAAAACTCTTCATGAGTGTGAACAGTATTCTTCCTGAAGGAATGGATCCTAAGTAGTAAGAAATTTAGATGACAATTTCTGTATAAAATTTTTGATAAAGTGTTTTTTTATATATTTTTACTGACTTTAGAGTGAGAGGAAGGGAGAGGGAGAGAGACATAGGAACATCAATGACAGAGAAACATCAATTGCTGGCTCCTGGGGATCAAGCCCGAAACCCAGGCATATGCCCTGATGGGGAATAGAACCTGTGACCTATTGGTTCATAGGATGATAATCAACCACTGAGTCACACCATTCAGGCTTTGTATAAAAATTTTAATAGCATCTTTATTTGTGATAGTAAAGGTGTGGAAGCAATTTACATATCAATAAGAGTCTTCTTTTTTAAGAAGTATAATTCATCCATTCTAAAGAATATTTTGCCAGCCTTAAAAATAATGTCATTGATAACTCTTAATAACCTAGAAAAATATTCATCTTAAAATGTTTAGAGGGAAAAACAGGATTCAGAATTGTATATTCAGTATGATTCAAGGAAAGGCACCAAAATGTTAACAGGAGTTTTCATTGAAAGTTAAGATTATAGGTAAATATAATTTTCTTTTTATGTTTCCACATCTTCTAAATGTTCTACAATAAACATGTATTACTTTTATTACTAGGAAAAGAAAAAAAGTTGGGGAAATAAATGAATGGTGTGGGCAGAACCTCATCTGTGACCAATCTGCAGGAAAATAATCTGATTAATTCTGGGTGAAATGACTGTTCTTATCCTGAACTGAGCAGGTCTCTCCCAGGCTGTGAGGGAGAGATGTGACTCCTGTCCGAGGACAGAGAAGCTCTGCCGGGGACAAGTATAATGAGCAAAACTGGGCTGTGAATCTTGAACCTAAAAGGCTGACACTGCCTCTGTAGCCTCACTGGTGTGATCTTCACTGACCTGGCCAATTATTATCTGTGTCTTTGCTGATCCAGAAGATATGTAAGAACAAAATCAGTT